AAGAAGTTAGCCCATCCTTTATTGCTGCTTCCACCAGGTGGCCTTCCCAGTGACCTCTCAGCATACAATTTCCTCTCATTTTCTTTAGGTTCCTTTGTTCCATATATTCTCCAGAATGAAATTAGTCTTTTCCTCTTCAGAGTCTCATAACATAGCACTACTCAGAATCTGCTTTGGGTTATAATTATTTTATTTATGGGCCATCTCCTCTCCTAGAGGAACCCCTGGAGGGAACTGTGGTATAAGAACTTTGTCCCAAGTTCCAGGCACAGAGCTTCAAAAGCCCTTGGAATTTCCTGTGTGACAGGAATGTCTTTGTTATGCTAATAAGGTGACTCATGGTGGACTCCTAGATAGCTTCAGAATGGGATCTGGTCACCAGGAAAACCAACTACATGATTAGAGGGTTGAGACTTTCAGATTCCCAACCTCCGGAGAGGGGAGGTGGACTGGAGATTGAGTTCAGTCACATTGCCAATAGTTTAATCAATCATGTCTCTGTAATGAAACTCCAGTAAAAACTAGATACAGAAGCTCAGTGGAGTTTCCTGGTTGATGAACTCATTGATGCGCTGGGAGGGTGATGTGCCCTGACTCCACGGGGAGAGGGCATGGGAACCCTTCCAAATCTCACCCTACACATATTCTCCGTAATAAAGCTGTAATTGTAAGTATAATGCTTTCCTGAGATCTGTGAGTCATTCTAGCAAATTATCAAACCTGAGGGGGTCATGAAAACTCCTAAATTTACAGTTGGTCAGAAGTGCAGAGGGCCTGGGGACCTCTGAAATGCAGCAGGTGTCTGAAGCGAGGGCAGTCTTGTGGAGGATCTTGCCCTAACCTGTGAGGTCTGGGCTAACTCCAGAGAGTTAGTGTCAGAATTGTAGTGCAGTACACCCAGTTGGGGTGGAATCCGAACAGGAAGAAACTACTGTTTTGGTAGATTCTAATCTCCACATCAGGAACTGGGTAAATATAGGTTGAATTGAGAAGAATTGAGTTAATATTCTATGTTCATATGAACATTATTATTTCTTTGGTCTTCCCCTGATTTGGGGCACCCATGATATTAGAGTCTTGGCAGAGGACAGAGCCTGGGTCCCACCACAAATGCTGAAAAGGCCAGTCTCTCTGTGGCCAGGGCAAGATCATATGAACTAGGTTCAGCCAATCTGATGCACCCATCATCTTTGACTTTGAATCAGGAGCAAATCTCTTTGATAGAAGCAACATCCAGCTTCCTGGGGCAGCAGCGATGCCAGTCGAGGTGTGAAGCAGCCAGTGTCATGAGGAAAAGCTACACAGTAACAGTGTTCAGTGAGACAGCAGTGGTATCCTCATCTACCTTGTTCTGCAAGGTGATTTTTGGTCCCTTTGATTGAGATTTTATTCATTTGTTTTCTTATTCTGTTTGGTTCTTCTACCGTCTTGAAAGTCATATAATATATGCTATTTCTACTCTTTTATGGTTACTCTTGAAATTTTGCCATGTATATGTAATTTAACAAAGTCTAAACTTGATACCTGGATGCCTGTCCTATAGAATACAAGGATCTGAGAAGACATAAACTTCAATAATTTCAATTATTACTTTATTATTATTATGTTATTATTTTATTATTATGTATTATTATCATCTTATACAAATAATGCTAGTTTAGATTTTACCTACAGGCTCACTACTCCTCTTCACATGTGATATCATCTTTCTGGGACCATTTTCCTTTTTTCTGAAGGATATCCTTTACATGTTTCTTTAGTATTGTGCCTGTTGGTAGTAAACTCTTGGTGCTTGTTTTTATGAAAATGTTTTTATTTCATCCTTGTTCTTGAAATATAATTTTTATGGGTACACAATTCAGGTTGATAATATGTTTTCAGCCTTTTGAAGATATTATGCCACTGTTTTCTGGCTTTTATTGTTGTTTTTGAGAAATTTACTCTTAGTCGAATTCTTTTGTCAATTTTTATAGGTGACCTGTCTCTTGTCTCTGGCTACTTTAAGATCTCCTTGTCTTTGGTTTTCTGCACTTTTACTATGATCTGTAAAGGTATGGATTTTGTTCATCTTTGCTTGGTATATTTTGTACTTCTTATCTTTGTGGAAACTGATTCTTTCATCAATTCTGGAATAGTTTCAACAATTATCTCTTTGAATTTTGCTTCTCTTCCATTCTTACCCTTCTCTCCTTGTGGAATTCCAATTAAACATATGTTAGAAGATCTCATTTTATCATCTATATCTCTTAATTTCTTTTTTCACTTCCTTATCCATCTCTTTATGCTGCTCTTCAAATAATATCTTCAGATCTATCTTCTAGTTCACTAATTTTCTCTTCATCTGTCTCTAAACTGCCATACATATGTATATTTGAGTGTGTGTAGTTCATACTATTTACCCATTTAAAGTCTATAATTCAATGGTTTTTAGTATATTCACAGAGTTGTGCAACCATCACCACAATCAATTTTAGAAACTTTTCATCACCCCTAAAAGAAACTCTATACCCATTAGCAGCCACTCCCTCTTCCTCCCAACCCCCCTCACCTGCCCTGGGCAACCACTAATCTACTTTATGTCTCAATAGATTTGCTTCATCTGGACATTCATCTAAATGGAATCATACAGTATGTGGTCTTTTGTGACTGGCATCTTTCACTTAGCGTAATTCTAAACTGCCTTTTAAGTCATCTGTTGAATTCTTACTTCAACAGTTGTGTTTTAAATTTCTATAAAATCTATTACTCCCTTTTTCAATTTACCTGATCTTTTGATAGTCTTTTGTTGCTTATTTTTGTGATTCTATCTTTACTTCTTTAAATATTTCATATATAGTTATGCTATTTTCTGAGGCTATCTAGCAGAATGAGCTAGAACCTCAAGAACTTTCTTCTGCTGATTCTTACTCATGGTAGTTTATTGCTTTGTGTATCTGGCAGTCTTTGCTTGGAAACTGACATTTAGGTTATCTTAGTTTGTGGAAAATCTGAGGTTTTTAATCCTCATGAGAAATTGCGTATGCTTCTATCTCACAGTTTATCTGCAGGGAAGGGCCCTGTGGAGCGCCTTGTTTGTCATCCTGCTGCCACTCCTGGAAGCCCCTAGCCTGCTTCTTCTTCTGCCCTGGTTCTCCAGCTTTATCGGTGAATCTTGGGCCTCTCAATCCTTCCATTTCCTGTGTGAATCTCCAGAGCCAGGTTCTGTTTGCCCGCAACCGAGAACCCTGATGGATAGAACATCCTCTAGTAATACAAGAATTACCTCTGTGAGCATAGGCAGTGTGCCCTGCCCTGTTCTAACTGCTTCACATGTGTTAACTCCCATGGTCATCACAACCTTCACATTTTACAGATAAAGAAACTGAGGCACAGAAAAGTTGGTTAGCCCGTCTTGGGTTCCACAGGTTGCAATTGTTGGACCTAGGAAGTGAACCTTGGCTCTTTTCCATTCCCGTGATTACAAAATGAAACGGAAGGGCTCAGGGCCATCCGGAATTCAGCAGAAAAAGTCCTGTTTTTCAAGGAACATGCTGCAAACACCGGCAGCTCATGAAAGCCCCGACCTGGCCTTTCTGGTATATTGTGTGTAGCAGCGAGGCTTGGCAGTGAGTCCGGGGTTCTCTGAGCTTTTTTCTGGTTGAAAAACACCCAAATTCTAACACATGAATCGTGAGTTTCCTTGACTGCATCTGTGCAGAAAGGCTAGAAAATCAATGCCACAGTGGCTGCAAATGCATGATTCAAGTGGTTTTGTTGCATTTTTAGCTTGACTGGGGAACTCTGAGAATAGACGCAAGACCTCACCTTTGGCTTGATCCAACAGAGGCATGACGCTGAGGATCAGCGTGTATAAACAGCCGGCTGTGTTCTGGGACTTGGAGCACCCCCCGTGTGGGAACTGGCTTAACATGATTGCTTCAAGGAGGAGAGGTGGGCTGCTCCCCCTGCTCCCGACCCCTCCTCATGTACTGTCCCAGGATGTGCTTGCTCCTGACCACTACTTTCTCAAAAGTAGAGGTAGATTGTTTTTTTTTTTAATAATTTTATTTATTTATTTATTTTCCCCCCCAAAAGCCCCAGTAGATAGTTGCATGTCATAGCTGCACGTCCTTCTAGCTGCTGTATGTGGGACGCAGCCTCAGCATGGCGGGAAAAGCGGTGCGTTTGTTCCGTGCGTGCCCAGGATCCAGCCTGGGCCGCCAGCAGCGGAGCGCGCGGACTTAACCGCTAAGCCATGGGGCCGGCCCCAGGTATATTGTTTATAATAAGCATTTATTAAGCGCTTACCTTGTGCCAGGCACTGTGCTTTATAATTTTATTTATTTATTTTTCCCCCCAAAGCCCCAGTAGATAGTTGTATGTCATAGCTGCACATCCTTCTAGTTGCTGTATGTGGGACGTGGCCTCAGCATGGCCAGAGAAGCGGTGCGTCGGTGCGCGCCCGAGATCTGAACCCGGGCCACCAGCAGCGGAGCACGCGCACTTAACCGCTAAGCCACGGGGCGGGCCAGGCACTGTGCTTTAAAAAGCTGCTTTTATAGACTTGCATACTTACTGCTTTACATACCTACCTCTTTCTCTCCTCAGAACAGCCCTGTAACATCGGCTAACTAGTTTGTAATCACTACTGTCCCCCATTTCATGAACGAGGAAACTGAGGCAGAGGGAAGTGACCCCCTGAGGCCTCGCAGGCAGAAGGGGTGGGGGCCATGGGAACCCTGCCCACGGGGCAGCAGAGCCTGCCTCAGGGCCCTCCCGTCCTTCCCAGGAGTCCTTCCTTTAGCCTCCTTTCTCTACGACACAGCCAGAAGGGCCACCTGGGGGCAGGCGAGTCACAACCCAAGGACTGAAGGCTCGCTCTTCTCCCAGGGCCCCACTATTTGTTTTTTCCCCTCGCATGTGGAGCTGCTACCAAGGGGCCTGCGCACCGGGTTTCTCAGAGCCACAGAAGGAACCGTCAGGGCCCTGAGCTCCCGGGGCTGGGCCAGGTGGGTGCTTACCTTCACTGCCTCCCAGCTGGAGTTCACCAGGTGCTGGCGGAAGGGCCCAAAACCTGAAACCAAGGAGACCATGGTTTGCTCAGGCTAGCCTGGGGAGGGGGTGTCCACTCCTGGGCTGCTCCCCACAGCCCCATGGGAACTTTCTGCTGCTCCCAGGGCCATCGTGGGCCCGCGGGAACTCCACACATCCCCTTTCTTGTGGAGGCCTGTGACCTTGCCAATCTGGGAGCATCTGCAGAGTTCGCTTGTGAGGCATTGTGGGGGAGCCAAAAAGGAACATGGGGCTGACCCACCGCTGAGCCAGGAGGGCTTGAGAAAGTGTGCAAAACCGTCTGGTTAAAATGCATGCTTTCTAGAGAGCCCCAAATACACCCACATGAATGTGCCCAGTTGTTTGCTAACAAAGGTACAAAAGCAATTCAATAGAGAAGGGATAGCTTTTTCAACACACAGGGCTGAAACAGTCAGACACTCTTAGGCGAAAAGATGAACCCCGCAACCTGAGTCTTGTACCTTATACAAAAATTAACTCAAAATGGATCATGGACTTAAATGTAAAAAGTAAAACTATAAAACTTTTAGGGGAATAAAAAGGAGAAAATCTTGGGACCTAGTGCTAGGCAGAGAGTTCTCAGACTTGACACCAAGAGCACATGCAGTCCATAAAAGTAAAATCTGATAAATTGGACCTCATCAAAATTAAAAACTTTTGCTCTGCAAAAGACCCCGTTGATAGGATGAAAAGACAAGCTACGGACAGGGAGAAAATAGTTGCAAATCACATACCAGAAAAAGGCATTGTATGCAGAATATATAAACTCTCAAAACTCAACATTAAAAAAGCAATCCAATTAGAAAATGGGCAAAATACAGGAAGAGACATTTCACTAAACAGAAAAGACAGATTGCAAATAAGCACATGGAAAGATGTTCAGGGCCGGCCCCCTGGCGTAGCGGTTAAGTGCGCATGCTCCGCTGCTGGCGGCCCTGGTTCGGATCCCAGGTGCGCACCAATGCACCGCTTGTGAGGCCATGCTGTGGCGGCGTCCCATATAAAGTGGAGGAAGATGGGCATGGATGTTAGCTCAGGGCCAGACTTCCTCAGCAAAAAGAGGGGGATTGGCATGGAGGTAAGCTCAGGGCTGATCTTCCTCACAAAAAAAAGAAAAAAAAAATGATGTTCAGCATCGCTAGCCATCAGGTAAGTGCAAACGAAAATGACAGTGAGATATTACTACCTTCTAGTAGAATGACTAAAACAGAAATAATGATAACTCCAAATGGTGGCAAGGCTGAGGAGAAACTGGGTCACACATACACAGTTGGTGGGAATGTAAAATGGTACTGCCACTCCAGGAAATAGTTTGACAATTTCTTTTAGAACTGAAAGTGGACTTCCCACCGCTGTACTCCTGGACATTTATCCCAGAGAAATGAAAACTTATTTCAAACTTGTACATGAATGTCCACAGCAGCTTTATTTGTAATAGCCCAGAGCTGGAAACTCCCAAATGTCCTTCAATAGGTGAATGGTTAAACAAACTGTGGTGCATCCAGAATGTGGAATACTTCTCAGCAGTAAAAAGAAAAGAAAAAAGTGGAAACAGCACACATGTCCATCACTGGTGAATGGATAAACACAATGTGGTATAATCCATACAATGGAATATTATTTGTCAATAAAAGCAAATGAAATACTGATTCACGTTACAACACAGGTGGACCCTGAAAACATGCTAAGTGAAAGAGGCCAGTTACAAAGGACCACATAATGTATGATTCCATTGATATGAAATGTCCAGAATTGGCAGTCTATAAAGACAGAAAGTAGATTAGTCGTTCCTAGAGCTGGAGTGTGCATGTGTACGTGGGTAGAATTAGGGAGTGACAGCTAAGGGGAGTGGGGTTTCTTTTTAGGGTAAGGAAAATGTTCTAAAATTGATGGTGGTGATGAACGTATAACTCTGTGAATATACTAAAAGCTATCGAATTGTACACTTTAAATGAGTGAATTGGATAGCATATGAATTATATCTTAATAAAGCTGTTACTTTTTTTTTTAAAACAAAGGAAGTATTGATATATACAACAACTTGGATGAACATCAAGGGAATTATGCTGAGTGAAAAAAAGCAAATCTCAAAAGGATACATACTACACGATTCCATTTATATAATATGTGTAAAATAACATAATGATAGAGATGAAGAATAGATTAATGGTTGCCAGGAGTTAGAGATGCAGGAAGGGAGTGGGTGTGGCTATGAAGAGTAGTTCAAGGGAGCCTTGTGATGTTGGTACAGTTATTTATTGTGATGGTGGTGGTGACACAAAGCTACACATGTGATAAAACTGCATAGAGCTGTACACACACACACATACACACACACACACAGAGCTATACCAATGTCAATATCCTGGCTTTGATATTGAAGATGTTAACATTAGAGGAGGCTGGGTGAAGGGTGCAGGGGACCATTCTATACATTTCTTTGTAAATTCCTGTGAATCTATAATTATTTCAAAATAAAAATTTTTTAAATGTGTGCTTTGATCCAGCGTTTGTCAAATGCTAATACTATGTAGGTATATCTTGTTAAAATATAGAATCTAATTGTGTGGGCCTGGGGTGATGCTGGAGATTCTGCAGTCCTAACAAGCCCCTGGTGGGTACTGATGCTACTGGCCCTTGGACTGATACTGGCTCAACACAAGGTTGACATGAGGGAAGCTGTATTGTAGAAAAGAAACCCTACTGTAACTTTGAATCATCTCTGACGAACTAACCCAGACGTGCTCTGTAGATTTTATGGCCCCTCCCAGCTGCTATAAGTGGATAACTTTGTCCTCTAGAGTTCCTTAGGAATGTGATGACCCCCAGGCAGAAAGTCTATGCTGACAGCCATCATCAATGACAACTGAAAGATCAGGGTATAGGGCATTGCTCTGGTCTCTGATGCATATCCAGTAAAACAAAAGACTTTCAGGAACTAAGAACAGATGGATGCCTCCACCCGGAGACCAGATGCCTCCCCCACCAGGAGACCAGCCCCCTATATAACTGGCCTGTAGTCTTTGCTCTATAAGATGGTTTTTTTTCAGACATTAGTTGGCCATCTTCCCCCTTGCTAGCAAGCTGTAATCAATACTCCTTTCTCTCCTACCTCCTTGCCTCTTGACTATTGGCATGGCTAGCGGCAGGCAGACGACACCACCCACGGGCAGTAACAGGACCATACTTTGAGCAGTGAGGCTTTGAACAAGTAGGGTTGGAATACTTTAAAGAGGGGAGAGAGCAGCTGGGGTAGGGGTTGGTTGGGGAAGACTCCTAGAGGAGGAGGTTGAGCCAGGACTTCACAGAGAGGAGGAGGCAAAGTGGCTGGAGGGACTGGGCCTGGGCCAGGTGAGCCCCCAGGGGGAGGCCCTAGTTGGGGAGGCCTCATTCTGGGAAAGAGCAAGAGCCAGGGCCGCTGGATGAGGCTTGTGGATGGAAGGGCTCGTTCCTTGAACTAGGAACACTTACCCTGGGTATTACTTCATAATTTAATTGCAAAGAAGATTTCTAATAAAAGGCAATTAGGTAGAATTTTGCTTTGGGGAGGACAGTGAATCCCCTCTGGGACTTGCTTAGGAAAGGTTTCCTGCTGGCCTGGGGAGAGGCCACATCTTGGGACTCTGTTGCCCTCTCAATGTTCCAGCTGCTCATTTTTATGGCACGCAGACAACTGACAAGAGATTTTCACATATTGAGGTATACGGGGTAAGCTAATCTGGTTCAAAACTGATTCAGCTTGAACTAAAGAAGCCTGACTTATGGCCTATCAAACATACGTTGTACATCTGCTTTAGCCATTAAAGTAAAGAATGCACTCTCTTAACATAAGAATGCATAGTTCCCCTCCTACGAGGCCAGTATCTGGTAATGCCTTATCCGTAACACCCGTGTAGTACTCCTGAAGATAAGTTCCCTTTCCTGACATCATGGTCATGTTGACCTGCTAATTTGCAACTGAATACCTCCTGGAAACTTTGATGAATATGTATCCTGGGTGTGTTTAATGTGTGTTCTTTGTTCTAAAAATGTCTAAGACTGTATTGAAAACCACGCTTCTCCAGAACACTTTCTCCCTCTGTGGAGACTGCCTTCCCACATTATAGTCCTCACCCTGGCCCAAGTAAAGGCCACCTATCTCTCTTACCTACAGAATGGTTATTGGTTATTTTGCATTGACACCATGAAGTGGCCCCTCCAAGCTCAGGCCATGGCTTGGATGGCAGCCAGGAGCAGTCAAAGACCTCAGTGTTTGGGGTCAGGCTTCCGCTTTTGCATCTCAGCCCCACCACTTACCAGCTGGGTGACCTTGAGCAAGTTGCTTAGCTTCAGAGTATTGGTTTTCTCATCTGTAAAATGAGGCCTAATCATAGTAATCTAAAAGAGTTGTTGTGAGGATTAAATGAATGAAAAAAATGGAGCATTCGGAAAACTGCCTGGGGCATAGAAAGCAGTGTTGAGTGCTCATCTTCATTATTTTTATAGTCACGTACCTCTCTGGATGGTTGTATGGATTAAACAATGCCATGTATGGCATGTATTATTTCCAGAACTTGATAGATGCTGTCAGGGAGGAAGAACTATTCTCTATCCTCTAGGTTTTCCAGGCTGGTTTAAGAATTAAATCAATGTGAGACAGAATAACAGGAGAAAATCAAACAAAGTTTAACGACATGTATACATGGGAAAAACCCAGGAAAACTGAGTAACTTGTCAAAATAGCCAAAGCCACTACCTAAATACCATCTTCAGCTAAAGACAAAGGAGGATGTTGGGAGTGGTGGTTTAGGACTTCAAAGGGGAGGAATTCACATGGAGATGGAAAAGCAAATGTTTGATAAACAAATGTTTGCCATGCCTTGTAAAGACAATGAGACCCAAGAGGGAACTTGGATAAAATGGGCCTTGCTAGGTGCCTTCCTGCCTGCCACACCTAGAGTTATCTATGGTGATAGCTCCTTCCTGGGACAGGTCTTCTAAAATTCTTTAAGGCAGTTAGAGGGAAAGTGAAAGCTGCCTTCTGAGTCTTTTGTTCTTAAAAATAATCAAGCCAAAGAGACACATTTTGGGGGGGCAGATTCTGATTCCCCACAGTGCTCAACAAATGCTGAGTCCTTTTCCACTGTCTCCCCACACAACACAGGATGGACTCCAGCTAGGCCCTTGCTCTGCCCTGATTCTCTCTGATCACTTGATGCCTGCCATTTCTCAGCCCCAAAGTCCCCTGGGCACTATGCCTATCAGTCAGGGGCACCCCATCCTTGCTTTTCCATAATGAGATTTCACCTGCTCTTTAGACCTCTATTTCTCTCTCCAGAAAGAGAAAGTCTTGTTCTCAGAGTTCTCCTGAGAAACAATACACACACATACACACAGAGTCATCTGTTGCTCAATGACAGGGATATGTTCTGAGAAATGCATCGTTGAGCAATTTCATTCTTGTATGAACATCATAGAGTGTACTTAGACAAACCTAGATGGTATTGCCTACTACACACCTAGGCTATATGGTACCAATCTTACAGGACCACCATTGTATATGCAGTCTGTTGTTGACCAAAACATTATGTGGCACATGACTTGCATATTTTATATATATGTAAGTATGTGTATATATAGAAAGAGATTTATTATAAGGTATTGGCTCATGTAATTACGGAGGTTGAGAAATCCCAAGATCTGCCATCTGCAAGCTGGAGACCCAGGAGAGCCGGTTGAGTAAATTCCAGCGTCTGAAGGCCTGAGAACCAGAAGCGCAGATGGTCTAGGTCCCAGCCAGAGGGCAGGAGAAGACAAATGTCTCAGTTCATGCCCTTAGGCAGAAAGAATTCAACCCTCCTCCACCTTTTTATTCTATTCAGACCCTCAATGGATTAGATGAGGCCCACCCATACCGGGGAGGGCCATCTACTTTACTGAGCCCTCTAATTCACATGTAAATATCTTCCAGAAACATCCTCATAGCCACATCCAGAAATAACGTTTAACCAGATATCTGGGCACTTCAAGGCCCCGTCAAATTGACACAGAAAACTAACCATCACCAGGCCTAAAGGATGGTGTGACTAGGAGGGACGAGGCCTGGGGGCCTCTTACTTCATCTCTCCTTCAGAGTGACCATGCTCAGAGCTCATCAGCCCTGCCTGGCCCCTGTAGGGGTGGCCAGCCGCTGTCAGATGGGCCTGTGATGGGTGGGGCTCATTTCATGGGGGGTAGTGGGCTGCAGATACAGGTAGCATTCTCCAACTCTGCTTTACCTGGAAGACAGCTAAGTTTTGAGTTCCATCCATCTGATTATCGTGACATATTTCTCAACTCAGATTCTGTGATGGGGAGGAGCTGTGATTAAACATCAACCTCAGAACCCCCAGGTTCCCGGACCTCAGGCCTTTGGAGCAGGAGCCAGTTCTGGAAAGGACTGTGCCTTTGAAGTTCCTGAACATCTGGGTCTGGAACCACTAACGAGGGCAGCTCACAGTGGATAAAACCTTCTCAGAGAATAGAAGTTTTGGACAGGATGTCCTAGGAAGAAGCGGTGTCCTCTATCTTTGACTGAATCCTATAGAATAAATAAGATTATAGCTGCCACTGAGAGCAGCCTGCCAAAAAAAATCATTTTAGGAAATACTGAGATTAAGGAAAAGTCACTGAGAATCCAGGTACCTCCTGGGATGACTGTAGGAATACCAAAAATGCAGCAACGCAAAAAAATCACATTCTGCTTCAGAATCATATTCAGATCATCTCTTATCTGTTTTAAATTAGGAGAAACCACTAGGCAAGTGAAGGTTTGAAGCTCTTGTTTTGCAGGATCAACCTTATACTTTAAGCTTGGCAGGCTCTTGAGTGGAACTTGCGAAAGGGGCTGGAGAATTCTCTCGGAATCAATGGAGGCCCAAGAGGGATGCAGGTTTTCTCCGTCTCCCACTGTTATTGTTGGTGCCAGGGAGAACGGCTTGATCTTGAGACAGTTTGTCAGAGTCCTTGTTCCCCCACCATCTGTCTGCGTGCCAATTGTCTTGGCGAGATTTACACACGAAGCAAATCCAATTAAATGAAAAGTCTGCCCCTGGCAGCTCAAAGCATTTTTAATAAAGGAAGGCCACACTCTGGAAGCCAGGAGGCATTCCCAAATCGCTGCTGATTATCAGATACTTCATCAAACAATCTAGAGTTTGCCAGCAAACCACAAGCTGACAGGACAGAGCAGGGGTCAATGCGAGTCTCAGACTTGCCACGGCGCTTCAATTTTCATATTTCATTTGTGACAAGCGTTGCGTTTATCAGGGGTACAGTTTCCTTAGGAATTCAAGAGTAATTTTAACCACTCCATCTCTATACTCAAAATAACACGAATGAGAGCAAGGGAGATAAAAGATTTTCAGAAGAACTTTCTTTTTCTCAGAAGGTTAACAGGAGTTTGATTACAGCCTGAAAATATTAAGATAGGTAACTTTCAATTTTCCCTGCACACAGGAATCCTTGTCTCTTCTGTTTCCTTCATCTAACACAATTCAAAAAACTTAAAATACGCCAAAAGTGTCTACCTAAAAATAAAGAGCTTTGTGAAGAAAGCGAGTCCTCCAGGGACCAGCTGTGACAATGACAGGGGGTGGCTGGTGTTGATTTTGGATGTGCTGGTGAAAGGCAGGAGTGGGCAGCTACCCTGGGCAGGTCCGAGTTGACCTTTTAGGGTTCACAGTCTCCAACTGGTGGCTCTCCGGGGGGTACTTCGAGTTCACTGAGTGGCTGAAAGCTCCCCAGTGTAGGGGCAGAGGCTGTGTGTTCCTTTGGGGGTGGTCATGGGAGGTGGACTGTTCTAGCCTTAGGAGGCCCTGTCCTTTCTGGATGCCCAGCTCCTCCTTCCTTGCTATGTAACTGCACCCCAGTGGATGCCACATGGGCCCACTGGGCTCCAGGTTTAGGGACAGCAGGTGCCAGCCTCGGCTTCCTCCCTGATGGGCTGAAGGACAGGGTCTGACTAAGCCACATGTGGGCACCTATGTGTATGCCACTCAAGAGTTATGTGAAGTGGATGGCAGGACAGAAGCAGAAAAGCCTCTCTATCCCCTGATGGTTTTTTAATAGGGCATGGCAGCAAGTTAGCTTCCATCTGGAGTTACTGGCACCACCAGTTGCCACACTTTTTTTCCCATGAGGAAACTGTTTATGACCAGGATGTGGAAAGTGTGCATTCCATGGCCAGGCTACAAGCAGCAGCAAATGGGAAAGCAGAAAAATAGTCTTACCGGTCACCACCACACAGCTGGACTGGGAATCCATGAAACCGGAGCGCGGAGGGTGCGTCTGCGCCTCAGTGGGTCAGCCGGCCAGGGCGCAGCTCAGGGCACCGGGCGCTCTGAGCATTGGACACCCCTCCAGCCTCGCTGCCTGCAGCCTCGGGCTCCTGTCGGGGGGGTGGGGCGGGGAACACCCAGCCTTGTCCTGCCGCAAGGCCCCCGCAGCGTTGTGGGGCCCGGAAAGGCTGGCGACTGTGGGGTGGGGGGTGGGGTGGTAAGGTGATCCCCCTTGAAAGCAGAAATAGACAGCTCAAGACACAGAGGCTGTGGCAACAGATAAGGACTTTCTGGCCCCTTGGATCTGGGTCACCTTGTTGCTCGGTATGGTTCAAAGTGAGCCACAAGTTTGGCGACCGACTGCCCGGATTTGCCCAGGACTGAGGGGTTTCTGGGATGGGGGGGTGGGCAGGACTGAAATGTGCTCAAACTGGTACAGTCCCGGGCAAATCAGGACAGTGGGTGACCCTACAAGCTGTTGGTTTCAACCCTGTTTTCTCCTCGTTAGTAATCTCCCCCCTCCCCTCCCCCAGAGTCCCTCGTTGTGTTTGGCCATTATGACTTGGGGAAATTTGGTTCTTCTTGAAACTGATTCTGCAAAATATGTAAAAAAAAAAAAAAAAAAAAAAAGGAGGGGGGAAGAAAAGAAAACCAAAACCACGGATGAAGCTTATGGTTAAAAGCGTTGGTTAAGAGTACCTGTTGTCTATAAGCTGTGGGTCCTCAGGCCAGGGAACCTCTCTGGGCCGTTTGGCCTTTCTGTGAAATAGGGATGGCCACAGCATCGCCCTCATGAACGGAGTCTCACTGAGCACCCAGCACTGTCCTCAGTCCCAGCAGCCCTGGGGGCAGAGGCTCACACAGCCAGCAGAGCCTGAGCTGGCTTCCCAGGCTGTGCTCTCGCCACCCCACATTCTGGCTGCGGAAAATGCTTAACGGGGTTTTTGACTAACACCACGCACCACTACCCGTCAGCCTCTGTGGGTGAGCATTCCACCTGGCTGGGTAGGCATTCCTCCTCCTTTTTAATGCAGTCAGAGTAACCAAGAGAGCTAACATTTGCGGCTAGTTCTTCTACTGAAGAAGCCTAGTTATGCAACATCTTGACCTTTCAGAATATACTATTTAAGAAAAAAAAAAAACACCTCTTTTTTAACTAAAAATACTTTTAAAAAAAAGCCGTCTAATAAGAGGTACAAAAGACCTAATTCTCTTTCCCCATCTCGGCGTTGCTGTGAGACGCTCCAGCCACGGGAAGCCAGCAGAGTGCCTCCAGTCCCACACTGCTTCCCAAGTTCACCCTGTATTAGAGGGTGTGGCTTCTTAATTGGCCCCCTGATAAAAAAAAAAACAGTACCCCCCCAGCCCAACACACTTAATTGGGATCACTGCTAAGGACTAGACTACACCTGATACCTCCCCAGGACGTAGCACCAACGGCCATTCCTTTTAATTGGCCCCTGGTGTGGGCTGCAGGCAGGCTTATTTACAGCAGAGAACAGGTGGGAAGCGGCATTCACCCCCAGTGGCCTCCCCCTGCCGGCTCTGGGGAGCTGGGGCCACCTGGTTTTGCAGAGGATGCACAGGGCTTTGCACTTCACGTTATTTAGAGACTAAAGTAGACAATACAAAAATTCAAGTTGGAAAGCAATTACCCAGTTTCTCATACTCCTTTGGGCATTGCCGATGTTATCTCAGCCCCCCTGCGGTGAACAGCACCCCTGGTTCGTGTCCCTTACCTAGTTCTTCTATTAGGAGGCCCTTGCTTGCCCATCACAGATATGAACAAGGATATTAGGTCATTAGAAACGCCTACATTTGTAAAGCTGCTTGCTGCTAGGATCAAACTCTGATACCAGCATTAACTAACGAGGTCTGGGTATCTAACTCGTGTTTACTAATGTTAACTTATCTTGCCTCAAAACAGACTCCTCAACTGCGAAGACTGCCAGTTTTTAATGATACTGCTTTTCTGATAACAAAGCTGCAATTTTTATTTTTTCAGGATTTGACATAAGCCATTCTTATTTTAACTTAAACTGGAACTTGGCCTGGAATTTTCACTTTTCCATAATTCACTTATTTTTTATGTCCTAAAATTTCCTTTAATTTTGCAATTAATAAAAAAGAAAAGGAGAGATGTAAAATATTTTTACTCAGCCACAGGGACATGTCTATGATTGCATTCATCCTCACCTGGGGGAAAAAAACACAGTCTCACTCTCTAAAATGAAAACAATTCAGAGAAGTGTGGAGTTTGAGGTCTGACATCCACACTCTTATTTCTTTTTCCATGGTAAAAACAAATGGTTTCTAACAATCACTAATGTCAAACACAATCTTTAGGCCAATGAAATACGGTCAGCCTGAGAACGAATAAGGCAACTAAAGAGAGATGTTTTATTTAACAAAAAGCACCGTGATCTTCCTTACAAGTTAGATTCCTGGGAAGAAAATATTTGTAATCGTATTTGACTCTGGGATTAAGAGGGCAAGGTGCGATCCCCTCTCAGTGAACCGGAAAGCAAGCAACAGTACACACGTGTTCTCACCAGGGACAAAAAATGTGGGTTGCCAAGATTACAATAACCCAAGACCTAAAATATTTGGAGTTTTGAACCAACATAAAACTTTTTGAAATTTGTTTTGAATTTCTTATTGGCAAGTTGTGACTTCCTGCTTAAGCAGCAAAAATGATTAAAAGGGTTTGTTTATTGTCTCCGACACAAACAACTCTTACAACATACTTTGTACACTTGACATAAATGAAATATAATCAAACTGGTCAAATTCCTCTTGGGATGTGGAGAGAATAATTCAATCAGCAAAAAGTACTGGTGAGTAAAATAATACTAAAAGCTCCCCTCTGTGTCAAACATCACTGCTTCCGGATCAGCCACTTATCTCTACCATAAAGCACAGAACTCCTAGCCAAACTGTCTCTTGTCGATGCACTAACAGATTCTCCAAAAATGTCACCCTTCCAAGATAGCCTTTGGGACTCATCCTCCCCTATTCCCTTGCCTTTTCAGCTTAATACTCCAACAGAGGCCAACACCCAGTTCCTGTAGAGTGCTAGATAGTAAATATTTCAGGCTTTGCAGCCACACAGTCTCTGTTGCAACTATTTAACTCTGCTGTTGTCCTAGGAAAGCAGCCATAGATAATATGCAAATAATGGGTATGGCTATGTTCCCATAATATGGAAGCTAAATTTTGAATTTCATATAATGCCCATGTATCATAAACTATTATTCTTCTTTTGATTTTCTTTCAACTATTTACAAATGTGAAAACCATTTTGAACTCAGGCTATACAAAAATAGGCGGTGGGCTGGGTTGGAGCTGTGGGCTGTAGTTTGCCAAACCTTGCTCTAGAATATAGTTTTTCTTCTGTAGGGAATATGATATGGTTGGTGATAAAGTGATTTTATGGTATACAGGAACGGATTTTCAGTTAAATGGGTAAATAGATTATAATTAAAATTAACAAGGATTAAGTGATTCAGAATATTCCATCAAAAAACCCATTGCTGTGGCCGGCCCTGTGGCCTAGTGGTTAAGCTTGGCGTGCTCCACTTCGGCAGCCTGGGTTTGCAGGTTTGGATCCCAGGTGCAGACCTACACCACTCACCAGCCATGCTGTGGTGGTGACCCACATACAAAATAGAGGAAGACTGGCACAGATGGTAGCTCAGGGCAAATCTTCCTCCAGCAAAAAGAGGAAGATTGGCAACAGATATTAACTCAGGGCCACTCTTCCACACCAAAAAAAAAAAAAAAAAAACCCAATCCATTGCTCTCCCTATTTTGTTAGGTTCATCTAGTGTTAAATTAGAAGTGTATTCTAAATAAATGTGGCAAACATTTTTGTTTTCAAAACTATAGTATTTATGATTTTTACTACTGTGGAATTAGCTTACTGAAGCAGTTATGAATTAATATTTTTTCTCACCCATTGATGTGTGATTGCTGGTTGTCCTAGATAAGATTTGGCTCCAACACATGAAGCTATACTCCAAAAAATGAAGCTATACTTCATTTTTTTTGAGGTTTCAGATGCCATATATTCATATTTTTAACCTTTCTACTAAAATGTAGCTCTTAAATGCTTATGACATTTACTAATCTAAAAATTAAAAATTTGAGACTTTTATAACATTCTGAAACAACCGTTTAAAACAATTGGGAAATTGGTACGTTAGAGACCATATGGCAACACTAGGATTATCTTTAACATTTCATGGGAAACTGGTATAGAAGGTAATAGTTTTGGCCGGCCCCGTGGCTTGGTGGTTAAGTGAGCGCGCTCCGATGCTGGTGGCCTGGGTTCGGATCCCGGGCGCGCACCGAGGCACCACTTCTCTGTCCATCCTGAGGCCGAGTCCCACATACAGCAACTAGAAGGATGTGCAGCTATGGCATACAACTATCTACTGGGGCTTTGGGGGGAAAAAAAAAAAAAAAAAAATTTAAAAAAAAAAAAAAAAAAAAAAAAAAAAGAAGGTAATAGTTTTTATAAATTCACCTATGAATTATGAACTAACAGCTTGAAAATTAGTGTTATAAAATTTCTGGCAGGGCCGGCCCCATGGTGTAGTGGTTAAGTACACGTGTGCTGCTGCTGGCAGCCTGGGTTCAGATCCCGGGTGCACACCGATACACCGCTTGTCAGGCCATGCTGTGCCAGCGTCCCACATAAAAGTGGAGGAAGATGGGCACGGATATTAGCCCAGGGCCAGACTTCCTCAGCAAAAAGAGGAGGATTGGCATGGATGTTAGCTCAGGGCTGATCTTCCTCACACACACACACAAAAATTTCTGGCAGTCTGCTGTGATATATCATAAGGTAATATTTTCCCTACATTTTATAGGAGAAAGGTTTGCCTATATTTTTCTTCTGTCTTATATTTTTTCCTTGATTTTTACTAAATTTTGATCTTTTCTTTTTTTAAGGACTACATCTCCTTGACTGAAAAGTAGCAACTGTTGCAACAGGAATTTGTTCCCTTATTAAAATCCACTAGTTTGCTAGCCCTGTTGTTTAAATACT